CCATGCACATTTACAATGAATAATATGATTCTTCAAATATAGTCCAAGGGACACTATATTTTTTTCACAACTTTTGCAACACATTAGCTATGTTATTGTAGCATTAAATAGCTTTCAAAAAATAAATGCACAGTGAATGCATTAAATGCTAATTTGACTCTTAGAGTGATGAATAATGAAAAGTAATGAATAGTAAAAAAGTGATGAATATTAGTATTGAATAGTGATGAACAATAATTATGTAATAACAAAACAACTCAGGAACCAAAGCTATTGTTATTTAAAAAGACAAATAGAGAAACTAACATACTTGAGCAGAGTGTTTAGTTATATATCTTTTATTGACAAATGTTAATAATTCTTATTAATGCTCTTGGAATGTAATTACATTATTAGAGATAACAAGAGAAGATAAAGAGGCTCCCCATTTGGCTAGACAGTCTGCCACCTAGTTTGCTTCTCGATAAACATGTGGGAATAAAACCGAAATGATAAAAGATACGTCCGTGATTTATAGCCAAAGAGATCTCAGTTTCTATTGAATGAGTTGTTCCTTATTACACCACTTGACCACATTAAGAGAATCCCCCTCTATCCAGCATGAAAGGCCATAGTTTATCTCTGTAAAAATCTTCAATCCTTGATAAAGCGCAAACAATTCAGCAAAGTTTGTCGTTGCATGCCCTACCAACCCAACATACAAAAAGAGAGTATTACCATCACAGTCCCTCAAAATGCCACTAATACCAGCTAACCTTGGATTACCAAAAGAACTTCCATCAAATTTGAGCTTCAAAGTAACCATAGGAGATGCTATCCACAAACTTTTAGATCTAGACCTCATGGTACCCAACTAAAAAACATTGTTGAGGTTGGCAAAAACATCAATTTTGGTCGTACCCCATCCCACCTTAGAAACAGAAAGCCATGCTTAGATTAAACATTTAAATGAGTGAATCAAACCATCCAAAGGTAGAGAGACTCCTTTGAACCATCTTCTATTCCTCTTTTTCCAAACCTCCCTAGATTACCAAAAGAGCTTCCATCAAATTTGAGCTTCAAAGTACCCATAGAAGGTGCTATTCACAAACTTTTAGGTCTAGACCTCATGGTACCCAACTGAAAAACATTGTTGAGGTTGGCAAAAAGATCAATCTTGGTCGTACCCCATCCCACCTTAGAAATAGAAAGCCACGACTAGATTGAACATTTCAATGAGTGAATCAAACTATCCAAAGGTAGAGAGACTCCTTTGAACCATCTTCTATTCCTCTCTTTCCAAACCTCCCAAAGAATAACCCATTTGGCGATTTTCCATAAAGACTTACTATTCTCCAGCAGGTGAGGTAAAGAGAGTTGAGTAACAATACTCTCCGTCGTCAAAGGCAGAGCCAAACTATTATTGATCACTACAACCAACCAGTACCAAATTTGGACTGTAAAAGGGCAGTGTATGAAAAGATGTGCATCAGATTCACCATCAGCTTTACAAAGTAAACAAACATTTGGTAGAATCTTAACCCTTTTAATCAGGTTGTCAATAGTTAGGACATTGTTCATTGCAGCCAACCAAATAAAGACTTGCACTTTATGGGGTATAGGCCATGTCCAGATTTGTGCCATTTGAGGGTGAGACAATCTCCATCAATCGTGAATAAGAAAATTGTAGCAAGAATTGATTGTGAACAAACTATCACTCTCAATCTCCCATACCATTTGGTCCTCCGCCTCTGCAGAAATATAAATTATTTAAAGTAATTCCATTAACACACACCATTGGGCAAAGAGTGCATCATTTAGTCTTGCATAGGGCAATAGAATATTCCATGAAATGGAATCACCTCTTCTCACAATCACCTCGCAGACCTTGATATTTGGCCTTGAATGAATATGAAATAGTTTCAGGAAAAGAGACTTAATAGGATACTCCCCCACCCACTTATGATGCCAAATATTTGGTTGCCACACCCTACAGACCATCTAAAGTAACCAGCAATCAGAGGTCTGCATAATACAATATTCCTCCACATATGGGAGGTAGCTCCTCTTCTACCAACCCCAAGCCAAACTCCCGACCTACCCAACCTTTATTTAACCAAAAGGACTTGAAACTACAACTGCTCTTTCAAATAGAGGCTCCTTCACCACCATTTATACATAAGAGCTTGATTAATTAATCTAATACTTCTAATGCCCAGTCACCCTTCCTTCTTGGATGTACACACTCTCTCCCATCTAAGCAAATGGAATTGTCTTTGCTCGCTAGTGGATCCCCAAAGGAAGTCCCTCATCTTCTCCTCGATCTTATTAGCGACCGAGGCAAGCATATTAATCAAGGACATCTAATAGATCAGAAGATTTGCCAAACAAGGTCTTAAGAGCGTCACCATTCCACTAAGAGATAAGTATTTAGGTTTCCATAGATCCAACTTACATTGAACTCTTTCAAGCACTCTATCCCATATTGTTAAAGGAAGTCTAGAATCGGAAATTGGTAAGCATAGATAGACAAGAGGAAAGGAGCCGACATTACAGCCCATCATTGTAGCCAGAGAATCAGTCACAGACTCAGGGCAATTGATGCCCACCAAGGAGGATTTATGAAAGTTCACTTTAAAGCCAATAATAACTTCACATATTTCAAGGAATAACGCAATGTTCTTAATATGTAAGTGGTCCGCATCACAGAAAATAAGAGTATCATCAACATATTGCATATGAGAAATCACTATATCTAAATTAGCAATCGAGAACCCCAAGAAATGCCCCACTCTCTCCACATTGTTAGCATTAAGCTAAAATATTCAACATAAATAGTGAATAGGAAGGGAGATAGTGGATCCCCTTGGCGAAGACCTCTAGAAGCTTGAAAAAAACCAATTGGGCTACCTTTGAATAGTATCGATAAATGGGCAGAAGAAAGACATCCAACCATCCAACTCCTCCATTTGTCACCAAACCCCATACATTTCAAGATTTATAGCAGTATCCCTCACTCAACTCTATCATAAGCTATCTCCATATCTAATTTAAGCAAGATACCATGATTATTGTTTTGAACTCTCGAGTGGATATATTATTGTACGATCAAAAAACTATATGTAATCTGACAGTCTTTAATAAAGGCAGATTGAGTATTAGAGATAAGGTAAGGTCAAATACTTTTCAAATGCTCTGCCAACATATATCTTATTCGTACTAATCTCCTGTACACTCCTTTTATCAATTGGACTTGTACAAACTTTACAAAACACATAATTTTCACAGAGATAGTAGGGACATGAAACGGTAGAGATAAGGGATAGGGACATGAAAAGGTAGAGATAAGGGAAAAAGAATGAGTGAAGAATGAGGAGCAAGAATAAGAGAGGAGTGAGAGAGTTATAGAGAGAGACTCAAAAGAATACAGAGGGACTTCGATACTTCTAAAGTCTGATTTCTTCTTTTTTTATAGATGCTTCAGGCTTCCAGAGCCTTTACTAGGCCTTCTCTTCTTGATGAGAGGATCATATTTATCATCTTCAATAGGTGGCACCAGCCAAGTGCCTTCGGGTGGCAGATGGCATTGAACATTGAACTGGTGGCTTTGGGTGGCTTCTAACATTTGTTATCTAAAATAGATGGTGGCAAATGTCAAATGTCAGTACCTCATGTTGACTCATGCTTATGTAAGTGTGCAAAGTGCTTAATGCTGGGTCTTGTTTAGGGAAGTGTGAAGAGTGCCTAATGTTGACGTCTGTTTACACAGGTTTGGGCCACTGCCTACTTTTAATTTTTTTTTAAAGAATTCAAAACTTTTTAAAAAAATAAAAAAAATGACAAGCAACTCGAAACCGGTTCAGAGGGAGACATAGTTGTATTCCGATACATTGAGGGATCCGAATCGCTGTCAACGATTCCCAATCTGGATCACTGAATTTTCAAACCTTGAAAAATATAATTCAAGCATTGGGGAACTTTTAGATCATCTCGGCTTGAGCTTTATAGTTATGAAAATAAATCAAGATTTCAAGCTCTAAAAATAGTGTATATTGTAATATATTATCTAGACCGTCCATTTCACCTTAGAGATTTTTGTTGCTGAAAAGGTTTTTTGGACAAGGATTTAACATGAGGCTTTATTTTGGTTTCATAAAGCCTTGGCTTTATAGAAACCTCAACAGTAAATTTATTGATCTAATGGTTCTAACCACCTCACGTAGTTGATCATTTTGGAGCCTATGTACGATGCTTCTGCAAGAATATATTGTACACTTATTCCTTTGGAAATAAGATTTGAATGTTTTTTTATGATTTGAATTTTTGGGAAATAAAAAAACACTAGATAATTATGCTCAAAAGAAAAAATTAAATTTTTGAGTTTTCTAATACTAATGCCTTCAAAATGAACCAGTTCCTATTCCATCGCGGGGCATATTTTTTAAGGGTGTGGTTTTTATAAGGCTGAGGTCCTAAATAATCAAAGTAAGACGTACTTTCAAATATGTCGAAATATGTGGTTTTAGTATTGGAAATCTTTGTGATAGTCTTAAAGTTTATTTTCATCACAAATAATAAAATTTAAAGCTTCAAAACTAGTGTAGATCAAACAAACCTATGAACGCTTGAAAATATTGAAAATTGACGGTCCGGAAAATACATTCCAAGACTAGAAATCTATTTTATCTCATGTCCATATATTTTGAGGTCGAAATGATTGATTTGAGTATTTTTCGGCAACAAAACTTCCTTTTTTAGTAAATTTTTAGGTGCGCCTTAATTTGATTGGGGCCTCGCCCTTGTATAAACTTTTTTTCCTTTTTTTTTTTGAGCCTGTAAAAATACAAATTGAGGATTTTTCTTATTGAGTTTATTACATCGATGGAGAAGGTTACCTCCCAAAATTTGAAATCCTGGACATTCTCTTAAATTGAAATTTACCTAAATAAATAAATAAGTGAGAGTATGCTCTTTGAGGAGCATGAAATCTGTTGGCCCTTAATAATATTTTTTCACTTTCTCGGCCCTATTCGTCCTTAACGCTAATTTTCCCTATGTTTCTTACTCTGGTGGGATCCGTTAAGGACGTTTTCTAAACGCCCAGAGCCCAGAGCCCAGAGAGTCCCTTTATCTCCTCCATTCATGGCATTTTGAACAAACTTTTTTCTTTAATTCTCTGTCTCACTCACGCTCTCTATCTCCACTCTTTCATGTCTGCAACAACGAGGAATTAACTCCCAGAGAGTCCTTTTATCTCCATTCATGGCATTTATCGGTCTCTTCCAGACACTCTCTCAACCCCTCTTAAACACCACTAAATGCTCCCCTCTACTCATTCCTAACAACAACATTAACTCTCTCTCTCTCATCCCTCCCCTTAGACTTCATCACTTCCCTTCTTCTCTCTCCTCATGGCAACATACTACCGCCTCTCCTCCAACTTCACAGAAACCCTCTCAATTTCCATCACTGAAAACCCGAGCTCAGTTCAACTTTCGTCTCATCTTCCCCCCCCAAAACCTCCCTCTCATCTCTCCGAATGATCACTGGGGGACATGGACCGCCATTTTCTCTGCTGGAGCTTTTGGACTCTGGTATCTCATTTCTTTCCTCTATATTCTTCTTTTCGGCTCGTAAAAACGATTTCTTTTTTCTTCTTAGTTTCTTGATTTTCTTTTTTATTGCGTTGTTTTTGGAGGTCGGAGAAGAACACGAAGATTGGGAGTGCTTTGAGTGCAGCTTTGGTTAGCACATTGGTGGGGTTAGCAGCTAGTAATTTGGGGATTGTGGGGTGTGAAGCTCCTGCTTACTCGATTGTAATGGAGTATTTGCTCCCTTTTTCTGTTCCTCTTCTGCTCTTCAAAGCTGATCTTCGGAGAGTTATGCAATCTACTGGGAAATTGTTATTGGCCTTCTGGCTTGGATCAGGTGATGCTTTGTTTTCTCAAATTTTTTGCTTCTTTTGATTTATTTTTGGTTTTTATGTTGTTCAGTTTTATTTTTTTGTTTGGTGGTTCCATGCTCATTGAAGCTTATGAGTATTTATTTATTATATGGACATGTGAAATGTATTTGCTTGATTGTTTAAAGGGGCTTCTATGTTAAAACAAAATAATATTTCATGAAGGGAAATATCGACTTTAATGGCAATAACGGGGGCTCTATGGGGCGGAATGTTGAGCGGATAAAAAACAATATACCCATAGAATGAGTGTAGCAGAGATGAAGATGTTGAAATGGATGAGTGACAAGATAAGAAGGGATAGAATTCGAAATGAATCTATTTGAGAGAATTTAGGCGTGGCACCAACAGGTGATAGAATGAGAGAGGGAGTAGACTTAAGTGGGCTAGTCATGTGTCGCGCTGACCAAGTACAACATTTGTTAGGAGGTGCGAGTTAGTTCAAGTGGAAGGACTGAAAAGGGCAAGGGGTAGCCCCAAAAAGATGTGGTTGGAAGTAGTCCGAAAAAATATGGGGACTTATGGCCTCACTGAGGATAGGACCTTTAATAGTGTTGAATGGAGAACTATGATTCATGTAGCCGCCCAATTAATTGGAAAAAGGCTAAAATGATGATGATGATCAATGGTAATAATGGGGGTAGACTGCTACCATTTGGGAATATATCTTCAAGTTCTCTAATAGTCCAACTTATCACCCAATTGTATAAATGCTGGAGATTTCGTAGTGTGCATTTTCTGTACAATTCGTTTGCTACCTGTCAAGATTTATGTAGTTCGGCAAATTGCCGACATCCACGGGGCATCAAAACTCTCTTCCACTAATAAAAAAAACCCACACAAGCATGAAGAATACAAGAGTTTAAAATCTCTCTCTCTAGAACACCAACTCAAAGACTGCTTTTTCCTTGCATATATTTTCTCTCTCTGCAAAAACACTTTATAAAGAGGAACCCAAGATAACACCTACGTGACCCATCTCTATCTCCCTACCTTTTTAGGAGTTACGAAAGTCTCTCTCTCCAACAAGAATCATGCGATCCTTCCTATCTTCATGGATTCAAACCCCATACAAATGGGACTTCCAAAAATATAGGAATAGAAATAGCAATCATTTCACAACATGAGAACCATTCTTTCCCTATTTTCTTTTCTATTTCCATTTCTTTTATTGGCTTATTGGGTTATGTCCCCAAGTGCATTAGCAAATCATTCTGACTTGCCTCTAAGTGTTCTTGAAAAGAGAATTGTTTTTCCCTTGATTGAAAGGGGTTTCTAAAGTGAATATGGCACTCTTGATTAATCCTCAATGCTACCTTGTAAAGTAGTCTATGTACCTTAGACTTGTATTATTTTTTTTGCTGATAGGAGTTATTTATCTTGTACTTTATTCTGGTGTTTATGTTATTTACATTGTAATTATGTGTGTTTTCTCGCATGCTTTTTTCTTGGTATGTGTGTGTGTGTGTGTGCGTGTGCGCTTGCATGTGCATGTATGTCCCATCACTCTTATGGGAAGTTGATTTTTCTGCATCAACGTTTTGTCCTTTGAAGCAATTTTCAAGTCCATGTTGGTACCTGTTGAAGGGCAGCTTTCCTTGAACCACTGTGCTTCTCTAACATCAAATGGTACCCAGACAAGATGCTTAAAGAACCTTCCACATGATTGTAGAGTGAAAGAAGTAAAGGCATGGGCACACACAAGCATAGTGAGGCATGTTGCCCACTTTCTTTTTTTCTTCTTTTATATGATGCCCCCGTAAAAGAATTGCTGGTGTGGATCCGACACTTGAAAATGAGAGTGTCTAAATCAATATTATCAAATTTGTTTCGCTCTGGCCACATTGGCCAAAGTCTTCAGCTGCAGCCCCTAAACTAAAGTGAAGCGAGTCACTCCCTCATAATTATAAAAAATCGCTATTAATGTAAAATATGTCCTTTTATATATTCATAACTATGTAAAACTACCTACAAGATAATTAAAATTTTGGAAAAGATTACCTCTTTCCAAAAAAAGAAAAAGAAAAAGAGATGCAAAATGCCTTCGTTACCTATAAAAGTTTAAAAAGTATACCTTATGCTTTGAAATATCTTTCCCGGGATAGATTCAGTTTAGTGTTAGTACACATAGGATGCCCCTGAAGAAATTGGATTCTCTGACAGATGACTCTGTGGAGGAGGAGTATGAGTGCAACAGATCGAGCTTGTGGGAAAAGTATACCTTATGGTTTGAAATATGTACCTAAATGCCTACTTATACATATTTTTTGATTTTTTTCCCTCTTTTAGAATACACCCAAAAGGCTTCCCCTGAATCTGCAAAGAGCTGAAGACTTCCCTTTCCTGGCAAAAATGAGGAGCCACCCAAAGCAACTTGGATAACAATCGGTTTAAATTGGATAACACTGCAGCCAGGCCTTGAAGATAAGCCATACACATCCACTGCACCTCATGATGCGGTGGCCCAACATGGTCTAGCAGTTCCAGCCACTGCCACAGGTCTCGGGCATTAGCACCCAGCTTTTTTATCCTTTTTACTTTTTTTGACAAGGTAATGATAGTGTAGAAGTAAAAAGTAAACAATGAAGTAATTAAGAAATATCAAGGAGGCATCTCAAACAGACCTTAAAGCAAGGGTTAACAGAAGCAAGCAATCATGGGCCCTACTCCGTCACTAGCCAAAGTATCTGCTCTTATTAGTACTCTAGGTCTTGTCAGATAGAATCAACCTATTTTCATAAAGCTTGACAACTTCCGCCCCAATGTTCTGCCATAATTTGTCTAATCCACCATGGAGATAAGAACTTCGTTATCAGCCCACCGAATAATTCTTTTCCCTTGGAATCTCTGGTAGCTCCTGGCACCTCTTGGTACCCAAAATTATCTCAAGTTGCCTGGTGCTTTTCATAGTGCTAATTATCATATTTATTTTACTTTGTCTAACTTTTTAAAAGTGGAAGGCGTCTTGGCTGCCTACGCATGTACCTCATGAATGAGGTGCCCCAAATAGAGTTTTTTTTTTTTTGATGAGAGGGGGGGGGGTTAAATTTGGATTTCATACCAAACCTTCCATTATGAACTTTACTAAAAATGTTCGAGACTTTGTTTGAGGAAGTTTACTCTTTGTATTAATGAATAAAATATGCAGGTTATATGTGACAGTATTTGTTCAAAAATGGTTTGTACAAAAAATGAAACAAAATTGTCAACTACAAATTTGCTTCTAACTACACTATTTTCACAAGGGCATTCCACATTTGCATTGATCTCATGCCATGTGTGTTTAAAGGTGGCTTGCAATGCGTTACTAATCCTAAAAAATTTGGTTGAAAATTTGTTCCCTATGCCTGGGGCACGGGCTAGATCTTGTGATCCAACTAATGATGTTCTTTGAGTCCCCTTCCACCAGAAGGTTGAAGCCCCACCCACTGTCATATTCTTTAAGACCTTCCACCAGTGTTTTTGCTTTGGCCAATGTGGAATTTTCTGTGCCTAAATTTGGTAAGAAACTTGTTGCATATGCTACGGGCAGATCTTGGGGCGCAACCCAAGACATTTCCCATTCCACCAGAAGGGAGGTGTACTACCTCCTTTCATATTATTTAAGACCTTCCAACAGTGCTTTTGCTTCAGCCAAAGTGGAATTTGCTGTGGCTATGAAACCAAAATAGGATCGTAACAAATTAGTCGAATTATTTCTCAAATGCCTCGATACGTGCCGGGCCTGGGTTCCCAAGGGAGCAGCTATTGAAATTAAGTTTGGCAAACATGAGTTGAGGCTTGTGACAGAGATTGGGTCTGGGATCGATCAAAAGCCCCACTCTAAGAAGGACATTCTAGTTTTGAATGAAATCTGCAGTCACAAAAGGTCCCTAAAATTCTTTGGGTTCTGGGGCCCAAAAGGTGACAGTGTATATTGTCTTTTTGATGGCCTCTCATTAAGATTCCCTGTTCTCGAAGATGCACAGGTTGAGCTCCAACCAGGTGGCCCATGTTGAAGCCACAGTAAATTCTTGCTCTAATAACAGTCCTGCAGCTGGGAAAGGCGGTGAGAAAGAGACCAAGAAATTCTGTTGCACAGTTTTAGCTGTAAGCCCCACATACTTAAAGAGGTGAAGATTGACAGACCAAATCTGGGGTGCTCTATGGCAGTGATGGAAGAACTGGTCTACAGTTTCTTCAGTCCCTTTACGCACAATTACATCATTTGGCTAAATGAACCTCTTTCCTCTTAATCTAGTCTGCTGTGCGGGCATCGCTGGAGCTTATCAACCAATTGAATGCCTGAACCTTGGTTGGGGCTGGTGTAAACCAGTGCTTGTTGGATGTGACTGGGGTATTATTGTTTGGGTTCAAAGCGTTTTATAGAGAGGACTCAGAAAATACATGAAGGACTTGGTGCCCAAATCATTTTATCCCTTTCCACAAAGCGCCCATGTCAGGGATTTCTGAAGCACGGAGGTTCCTCTTGAACCTTGGCATCAATACAACGCTTTAGACTTTCTACTTGTTTTGTGTGCCTTTGTTATGCAGACATGTAGGAGTTTGAGACTTGTATTATTAGAAATCTAAAAGATTGAAACTTAAATTCAGTATTGTAGAAGATTGTAACTTGGGCAAACTTTCAAGTTGAACTTGTAATAAAAAGAATAATTAGCCATAAAACATTGTGAATGTGGACCATTGCTGCATAAGGCCTTAGAGACAGATAGAACATAGTCACCATACAAACAAGACAAATCTCATAAGATCTGTGAGTCCCCTCCCAAGATCCAAAACAACAAAAATAAGAAGCCAAATTTCATGTTACCAATTTAGATTCATCATCAAGGTCCACAACTTCATCACAAGCATCACCACCATCTCCATTATCACTATGATCCACCAGAGTCATCCCCCTTCTCAACAGAGTGCTCATCCTGTTTTGTCTCCTCTAAGTCAGCCTCCTCGTCTGTTGCCCTGAAGC